GGGAGGGTGGAAGACGGAAAACGTGAAATAGCATGTTTTCGTTTACCCGTCCTTCTGTATGCAACAAGTAAGGTGACCCGGCTGATGGCACCACGCGACGGCCGATGTAGCCTGAGTATTGTTAGCTGTAAATGTCATGGTTGTACGAGGGCTGGGATACAGTCAGGGCACCCAAATCTAGACAGAACGACGATTAGGGTCCTCAACCAAAGTCTGTCTCCAAAACCTAGCCGCAAGCCAGCGGTGTTGGGCTGGAAACGCAAGTACATTACCGCTTTTTTACAGAAAACGTCACCACACATGTTCCAACCCCAAACCTGGAGGGCCATAAGACTGTGTTCGTCCGACTTCTACCCATTGACCAACCTGGTATGAGACCCTGTGATTGTCGGACGGACACCCCCCAGTATAGTTCAGTGGGTCTCCGAGGTACACAAACCGTCACACCATGGTAAGGTCCAATCTCTTCGTGACGGAACATACGCAGTCGTAAACCTCCGAGGCAATAAGGGATTCCATGTTCATCGGCCAGAGTTCTGCGTCAGTTGAAGCCTCCCGATGAGTGGCAGCTGGTGGATACAGCTGTTATCCAATGTCCAAGGTCGGTGTTCTTTATTCAAGATGGTCGCTCCGTCCTGATCCTTGATGGCTTCCGGGGAGCGGTCACGCAGACCAACTCAAGTATTCTTTGGCTTTCTGGGCCTCTCCTCTTTCCTTAGCTTTCCGTGTCCCATACTTCACGGTCGGATCGCAAGCTCACTTTCACCTGACGTCTGATAACTCTTCGTATCGGGTTATGTTCGGGACCGGTGGGATATTTCTGGTAAGGTCCAGTCTCTTCGTGACGGACTGGCAAGTAGTGACTGTGATAAGCATATATGACCTAATGCTATGCTCACGAAGACCACGAAGATAAGTTCTACATCAAAATTAAAGCTGTACGTTGATCGGCTGGGAGAATTCAATGCTACTGTCAACAAAGAACACCAATTCGGCGCAGATATCTCGCACCCCATGGTATGAGGCCTGTAAAGATCAGCGACGACTGATCCTGATGTCTCCAACACGAGATTTTATCTCTAATATAGATGTAGCCACAGAGACATGCCCACACAGAGGCTAACCACACCTGCTCGATTACGCTGTCGTTAGTCAATATGGTCTCCAAGAAACGTGCATCACACGAGTGATATGGGGAACGAACTGCAGAAAAGACTAATGACTTACCCGAATGGAGCTGAACAATTAACTTGGTAAGCCATATTGCGCCAAATGATTCAACAAACGCGTAAACGTGAAACATCTAAAACATAAGAAAATCAGATCGATGTGCGGCAGTCAGTCAGATTCGGCGATTGCACACACGAGACCTCGGATGATCTGATGACAGAAACCGACTGGTAAATGGGAAGAATGAAGCGCTCGTTGAATGCCTTGCCCGTCCGGAGAGTGAGGTCAAGAAACAGCATCTAAAATATGCATTAATCGGCCTGATTTAACGACTCAACTGCAAGCGATCGAGACAGCGGAGTGTACAGTAGACCAAAAAATCCGCTGTTAGCGGAAAAAAGTATTTTGTACTGCCCGAAGGTTATCTACGGGCCAGGCATCAAACCAATCCGAAATCTACAAGGTGTTGTCATGTGAGTGAAGTTGGCTTCGTCTGAAGAAATTTAGTATATATGCAATAATCACCCCAGGAAACTCCTGAACCGACAAAGGAGCGTCAACTGAATTGCAGTGGATAGACTACCTCAATGAAGGGAAAGCTGCCTCTGGATCATCTTCTGACTATCGATGAGATATGGTGGGTGAAGATGCAGCAGTAGGATGGCAAGTCGGCTAAACGAGATATGTTCACAGCCGAAATGTTCAAGTTTGGTGAACAGAAGGCACTTCTCTAACAGACCAAAACGATCTGGTAGGAACTAGATGTTGCACAAAAATTCAAGGATGCCCTAATCGTGCCACTCCACGAAAAAAGAAAACAAGGCTACACCTGACAACTACGAATATTTTAATCTCTTAAGCAGTGCGGAGAAGATCCTGACACGACCTAAATTGATCAAAGCACGCAATCCAAAACAGCAGTCTGTTGGTCGTATGTTAACGGATCTGATATGTGCTACACGAAATCTTCGAGGAAAATCTCGTCAACGTCGCCAGCTCTTACATAATCTTTTCATAAACTTCAAGAACGCCTTTGCCTTCAACACTCAGGAATCACCGAGGGCAGCGTCTCTAAAACACGATTCTCTGCCAATTACTCAATTAATTTCGGGGCTGTCATGATGGAATGACGACGACGGTTTTAATAAATGGCTCGACGATAAGTGTGTGTTCGACCCGCTGTATTCAGTACTTGCTTTTGGAACTGGATAAGTTTCGCTGACAAGCAAATCAAGATCCTCGGATCCTTCCTAGGTTCCTGAGGCTATCGGTCTGCTAATCATACAGTGGCGTCGGGAGCGGCCATTGCTGTACTGACCAAAACTTACAAAATTGTGTAATGCTAAACCTGAGATAATCCTAGAAGTGGCTTTGGTGGGTTTGCAGTGTAAATGAATCAACTCAAATTATAACATGCAAATGTCCACATTGTGGCGGACCTCACTCTTTTCAAATGTTCAAGTTGGACAACTACAGTCATCACTATCTGATACATTTGAACAACCATAATCGGGGCTGTTCAGTTGCCCTACAGTAAAAAAAACATACGAAAGGGTGAAATGTATGTGAAATGTATGTGAACTGTATGAAAGGGTGAACTTTCGATCTATGAAGCTATCGAATGACCATGTGATCAAACAAACACCTAGGTAACTTAAAACCTGCGCTAAGGATCCTGAAATCCGGACCCATTGTTACATTCAGGGTGTGACTCGTGACCTCATCCCGATACCGGTTTCACCGTATCCGGGGATGATCAGATACACGTAGCCCTCGAGTTCTTATCAACCCCATGTTTGACTTCAATACAAGAATCCAGCAAAGTGACAAAATACACTGAACGCCGTCCAGTATTTTGAGGAGTTCTTTCGAAAATGGTACTGCGTGCACCCTTTTTAGTGACATGCTAAGAAGTCGGAACTAGCTTAACACACCGAGTCTCGCGTGCACTGTGATTTGTAGGCTGTTTAGATTCCTCTGTCTGAATACTGATCTGTGATAGACCGCTCGTATATGAACTTCATGTTGAAAATTTCTTGGTCTGCAGTTGTAAGATCCGGACGGTTATGGATCTCACAGGACGATTGCGACTATTGGATTATACGCAGTTCGCAGCCAGAAGTCAATAGGAGCAGACGGACGTGGGGCAGCAGATGAAATATTGAGGACTGACAGACAAACGGATTAGTAAGCATCATGAATTAAGCATACGTACAATCAACAATGACGCAATCGGCAGGAGCAGGAAATAGTCACTATCGCAGCACGGATTTCTATAGGGGCAACAACAAGTAAGTACCAAACGATGTACAGACATACATATAGGGGCAGTCTGACAGTGTGAGTTGACCGTAACGGCGCAGGGGTCAGTACGTTCGGGATGTGAGGGGCTGTCTTTCGGTCGGCGTCGACGCAGCCGCTCGTGTCGCGCGACAGGTCAGATTACGCGGTTTCGTCCGTTTAAAACAAAGCTCAGCAAAGGCTATCTGGCAGGCGTGATACATGGGTAATACAAAATAATCAGCCGCTCCGGACGTCAGGTCGGTGCAGTTGTTGGCGCGTTCGCTTGCCGTCCGGAGGTTCCGGGTTCGGTACCCGGGCGGCCTGCTTCTCCATCGGAGTGGGCGTTCAGAATTGGTGCGATCGAGACGAACTTGCAGGCAATGAGAGATGGGCAACAAAATATTGACATCAGTTACTGATGTCAAACCTTAAGTAGGAACGAAACGGGGGGAAAAAGAGCAGCACGAAAACGAAACGTTATCATAATAAACAGGTGTAAGTCATGTTACTCATGAGTAGTCAGAAACAAGGAAAGTTACCCTTGTTCACCGTTGATTCACATGGGAAATCAACAGTAGTGTTTAAATGGGCAAGAAAGAAGTAACATGAAGTACCGTGTCCTCAATTCCAACCGACTGATTGCACTTACTAAAGCATATTTCTACTTGTCTCATGTCTTGGTAATCCGGTGTCAACTAAATCTGCTTTAGGACGAAGAACCCCAGCTGTAGTTGATCTGGTCGGGTCGAGTCATTGGCTTACGAGACAGCAACAGCATCAGTCATCAATGATCATAACGCACAGGAGGATCGATCCTGTCTGATAATTTTTCCACATGACATGGAGTAGCATGAAGGTATGATAATATGATTGGCGGAGACAGCACCGCCCAGAAGATCAAACCGCCAAATAGAAACATTTCCTTCCGTATTTATCGGACATCTACATGTTTGCCAAAGTGACAGATTACATTTCTCTGATTCACATGAAGGTACCCAAAAGAAATGTGAATGAACGATGAAGCTATCACATATTCCTAAATGAATGGGAACCGTGTACGCAATTCCTAGGAATCTGCATTTGTGATGCAAATAATCTTGGCAGCAAACGGACACTAAACCAATGTCCACAAAAACCTGTTCCATTAATGCCCGCCAATGCACGCGGTCTGCTTAAACCATCGACAAACCACGAGTTCTTTTGAGAAATCGACTCACCTATATCTGAAGAGGAAGCCAGTTTCTTTTCGCAAATGTTCATAAGCGACTCGAATTTGTGGGATCGCTTCCTAGTGATAAGGTGGCAAAACGCACGCATCTACCAAGCGATGTGAACTGATAGATGTATATGACAAGTAGCTTTGTACTGTTGATTCAGTTCCTCAAATCACTCTGTTGCGACTCCCTTCAGTGAACAAATCAACCCATTGCCAACAGATAGACATATGCCCTTCATGAAAGTGAAACACTAATATGCTTCTTTTCTGGCAACAACTTTGTACGAAGGAATTGAGCTGGTCATCCGCCAGCGTAGGATGTCATGTTAGACGAAATCCAATACCCAGGCCTCCGGAAACCGGGGTATTCAAAAAGGGTTTGTGCCAGTATATAAACAGCTCTTTATAAAATCGATGTGTGAGTGTCAAGCTCACATTAACAAATGTGTCCTACCCTTCGAAGAATGGTCATGTTATATTCCGTGAAAGACACTCCGCATGTACCACGTGTCTAAGACGAAGAGATCAATAGACTAAAGCAAAAGTAGGATGAACACCGAGCATGTAGAATTGTCCTGATAACCTACTTGTTGGAGCACTTGGCTTCTGGCACGTCATCTCACGCCAAAGTGGACCACGGATGTTCACATATTACTGCCTGCTTTTCGCACAAATGTGCTGAATCATCTTGACCAAGGACGATATTTGCGTGAACCCGAATCGCCCGCACTAATTACTTTATCTTACTTATCTTACTCTACTTTAGCCGCTACATAACCGCAATACGATTTCAATCCTGTCTGTGCGGCGTTCTCTTGGCGTTTTGAATTCCACGAAAAAGGTAAAAAAATGAATACACTGGAAACAGCTATGAGATAATTACCTCCAGAGCAACACTACGCCTGGAAAAATAACTGAGACTGGTCTCAATTTGTTGTTCTTCTACCATGTCGATTTGGAATACTTTACCAGAATATGCGATCACCCTTGACCGGAAACCGAATCTTCCATCAGTCCTGCAATCAGGTAATCTCACGTGTTAATGAAAATCAGGCAGTGATATTCAGTAGAAATTTCCGCACGTACAAACAGGGTTGAGAAGCATATGCTCCGTTTGTATTGACTTGTTTGTTTTCTGTCTTACTGGCATTGAATCAATTAGCTGGGCAAAAGGGACAAGTCAACTCCTGCATTCAACAAAGGCTTGTGGGGCCGATATTGTTAATTCGAAATGTGTGTCGTATTTGTCTGATTAAACTGGTGGGCCATTCAAGTATCTTGGTTTACTAGAAAATCAGGATCACACAAGGCCGCCGGCTTGAAGCCTCGTCTGACAGTCGTGATAAAAATAGCGTTCTGATATATTGGATGGCTGTTACAATAGCGACCTACCTTGGGTGTATAAAATGCCATGGGGTCCGTCAGGGTGCACCTGTGAGTTTAACCATAGTTGGAATTTAGAGAAGACCGTACACCATACTGCTACATCTTCCGCAACAAACAGAAATCGGTGATTCTGTGTTGTCGAAACTGGTTTTGTGCAAGCGTATTGACAACGAAATTTTGGTTGTTGTCCTTTTATGTCTCGACTCTCGGAACTACGTGAGCTCGGTGAACAGGCAGGAAGGATCATTCCAAACACGTGCATTCCAAGTCTTCTGTTGTGTTCAGAGCACGTTCAACCGGAGAAAGTCTCAAATTGGAGATTCACTTGGGTCTCATATCAACAGCAAGACAATTTGTGACTGACTACGCTCCGCCAAAATTAGCACTTTGCTTGGGGTGAGATGAGATAGTGTGAGACTGAGTGGACTCGGTAAATAAATAACAAGGATACACATAGCACCTACGATTTTGTACTGATGCCAATGTGGTAATGTCTGGACTGAACCTCTGAAGTTCATCAAGAGGCTGAATGTACCATATCATCAAAAGCACCGATTTGGTCACCTCATAGGGATTCGGACCAGTAGTTGCTTGCAACAGAAAATATGTATTCCATCAATTTCACTCCACCCTGCGTTCATACGAGAAACATGTAGTTGGGGACATGTGGGTATGACCTATTTAAATGGAATCTTGAGTCGCTTTAGGATCGCCACAGTCACCAGACCACGTGGCCTGGTTTAAACGTTGAAATACCAGCCACAGAATACCACTTTGTCGTTGCTGACGAACATACGGATTGTGTGCACCAACATCAGGGTCGGACAAAGCGATTCTACTTGTAACTCCAAATTACAGACATCTGGTGCTATTCGTTCACATTTTCAATCGAAAAACCAAAAGGACAAACTAAGAGGCCTAAATTTGAAACTGATCACAACCTGGAGCCTAGTTATGGCTTCGAACGCCCATGGCACTTTAGGAGCCACTGTTAACTTGTCAGTAATCGGAATGACAAAGCAGGTGACACTGTCACGAAGTCTCTGCTTAGTTACAAAATTTGTTCTTGTTCTTCCTCTTGTTCTTATTCCTCTCAAAACGAGCCGAAAAATGGTGGTCACCATCTACTTGATAAACGTTCAACACAACAACTGATTGCCTTTTTCCAAGGCTGGTGTTTCTTTTGAATAACTTCATTCAGATCAGTTTAAGCTCGGAGGATGGAAGCAAGAGGGGGAAAGAGGGTATAAAGAACAGATTAGGGGGAAAGGACTACTTTGATATATCAGTCCTGTATGATTGGTGCGGATACTTTATGGTGGACAGGTTTGTCCTTGTCAAATATCAGTCTGTGAAGTCGCATGATCCGATGGTTCAGAGTTTGGCTGGCAAGCGTTATGACATGCAGAACAGCCAGAAACTCATAAAACGTCTACGAAAAAGATGATAGTCTACGGAATATTTCTGTCCACAGACCTTCAGCAAGCGTATTGCCACTTGACTCACTTATTTTCCATGGTATGGCAGTGAGTAAATTCAAGAAGCTGCACAAACCCTTCGACGAAGAAGTGGAAATGACTAAATGCCGACTATTCGGCAATGCTATGACCATTTGCGTTCCGCACAACTGGCCAAGATAAGGGAGATGTCTATTACCTGTTTTGTTTCAGGTTTTTAACACATACATATCAGGTGAGTAGTTTCCGAATTCAGCGTCTGCTAAGTCATTTGAATCTTTTCTGAGAGCTGTTCCTGGTTAGAAATAAAGTCCCGTAAAGATTATAACCGGCTCCCAAAAACCTAATTCTAGGGGTCATTTTTTGTGATCAGTCTACCAGCGGCAGAAGCATGGTAACAAACCGTCTGAATAAGCGAGTGGAAGGGTGCTTTGTTGGCATGGATTGGTAAACCTGTCGAGAGCAACAGAGGCAAACCGAATAATGCATATTTGCTCTATGTGAGTTGAAAATAATCGAGACGAATTCACACAGTACGAGAAATTTGCAAGTGCACATACGCCGCTCGAATGGTATTGCAAACTTCATACCATATGAAAAGGTGGACAACGTAGGATCCAAAGCGTGAACGCATCACGTAAGGGCAATAAGTACATTGCCAACTAAAATTGAAAATTGAAAGTTGCCAGATCTCGCACATCCAACAAACAGTTAATCAACTGCCTGGTTCGCGTTTCGAAATTACTGTCAATGCTATGGTTTACTGTCTGCTTTCGACCAATTGCGAATGTTCGGAGGGAATGATAATTTTTGGCAAGATGACTGTGGTCTATTGTAAAGAGTATCGGTTGTAATTTTGCATTTTCTACTGATTCCTTTGAAACGATCAAATGAACCGTAGCCAAATATTCACCGAGTGATCGGGTATTTGTTTGAAAACGAAAATCAGTGGATAAGATTTGTGGCAACCATGGTGTTTGACGACCAAATGGTCCATTGAGATATCCAACCGTGCTTGCGGGCAAAAATGATCCCTCATTGTTGCAACCATCGCCTGGAATATGACAAGCTTTCGCAGTTATACATCTAATACGTCTTCCGGAATATATTCAGGATTACAGAGTTAGTTCACAGTCCATTGAGATGTAAGGTTTGCTGTGTGCGAAGCGACCAGTCGTTCTCTAGGACACTCGTGATATTTGGAAAGCTATGGAGCACCATTTTTGGACACAATGCATGACGCCCTGGAATGCACGTTATGAACCAAATCTATTTAGAGTTATTGCAGTAAAACTTGTTCAACGTAGGCCCAGTGGTCATCTATTACGGAGAGCTGTTGCGTGTAAAACTCAAAGTAAAAAGATGAATTAAATTAGTGTGGCCATCCCAATCTTCAACATCCAGTTGCGTCAGACTCCAGTGAAACGTGCAAGGAGCTCGGTTTGGGTCATTTTTATTATAAATAATTTTACGGTTTCTGATATTGTATGGGCCCACCGGTGATTTTCTAATGCGGTTGCATATGTCCCACTCACGTTGTGTTCTGTAGTTATTAGGTGATAGACCAAACGTCTACTTGGTCACTTCTTTTGTTGCAAAATGATAAATTGTGCTTTTTAGCGTAAAAGCCCCCTGTGGGTTACACCTAGTTACACATTTTCCTCATTACTAAAGACGGGATATGTCCCGCCTGGATAGGGATACTTTACAGTCATTCGGCCCGTTGACCCTGAATTTAAGAAACCCTTCGAGATATGTCCGAACTCCAGTCCCATATCGGTCCAATGAGACTGACAGATCTTATTTGTTCCCACCTTCAGGTGTGCGCTAAATACGCATTGTCGATCAGTCTACTTTCATGCTGAACAGAAACTCTGCATTCAGTCGCTCTACGCAGATGCTCTACTCCCGTCTGAAATTTCATCAAATCAGAAGGGTTGGAAACGGTTCGCTAAGGCGGCCGTGACGCAAAACTGAAGGTTACGGACAGACCCGATCCGAAGTGAGAATCCAGTTAACGTGGCCGTCGTTTTCGTTGTGTCATCAGCTGTTTTCGTGTTAATGGATGAACTCATCCAATTCATTTCCTCTCTCCATCAGTTCAACCGGTTTATTGTCACAGTACTCACTTCAAGCGTTTGAAAATGGGCCTATGTTACTCATCTATGTTCTCCTGTACCATCATTCTTAGTTGATGTGTGTATGTTGTTGTTCAGCACAATGTGGTGTGCCCCGGTGCTTCTTTCTGCTTTCGCGCGAAAGTATCCTGACCTATCCTGAAACAGTTCTTGTATCGGCAGGTCCTCTAGAAAATTATGTTGGCTTTGTGTGATGTTAGGAATTTTAACATTATGCTTGGTTACTGTGATGGATGTCTGTACTATACACTCGAGCATCTCAATGAATTCAACCCAGGGAAGCGGTTATTGTGAATAAGTCGTCCTCGTTTGGATTTGTCCACCATGTGGCCTATTGTTAAATCGGAGACAGTGGCGTTTTGTTCAGAATTTTTGCGTCAACTCCTGTGTCTGCATATAAATGGCTGTGAGCTGTCGGTCATTATCAATTGGTTTTCACATGGAGTTTGATGGTGTAGCAATACTGAAACTATGTACAACCTAGTTCTCCTTTCGAACACGCTTCACAGCGTTCATTGCTGATAACATACGGGTCCTTTACGCGGCTCAAGGATAAACTATCAAACACCGACGAACAGCAACGATTGTGGAACTTTAATTTTGCATTTGGTGCTACATGCTATCTTTGCAAGCATTTTGACATTACGAATAAAGCTTCATTCATAGTCCGAATATCTGAAAACTGGTATTCCAACTCGTGGCTATAGGAATCTAGCAGGTTTTGTTAATTCAACCTGGAAAACGGCATTATTTCGTATGAAACCTGGTGGCACAACAGGCTGATGGGAGGATGGCAATTATATACCTTGATCTTGTGCATTAGTCGAATAATCTGACTTTGTTTCAACAAAATTCGTAAAGCATCGCGTGAAGTGCTTTCTGTTCTGGTAAATTTTTACCTAGATTTGTTTTCATGTGTGAATCAATAATACCAATTCAGCTAAATGCACTACTGTTGAGCATTTATACTATTCTTGCGATCAGCTAGGAATTCATGTACAGTAACCCGGTCTTGAAGAGGAGTTATAAAACACTGCATGTACTTTAGCGGGGTGTGCTGCGATTTTAAAAAAATGTAGAACCAAGGAATGAAATGCGCAAGATGTGCTTCCATACTTTCTGCAAATTCTTGCTTTGAGCTTGTATTCACCGGGAAAGCAATGAGAATAATCAGTGACAGGGAAACACTGACAGTGTGATTCCACTTCCGGTCGCCATAGAGCCTGTGGTAATTCGTCATCGTCATCACCAGAGACAGTGACAGCGACATCAGTGTTCATTATTTGCTGCCGTAAAGCTGAGTTACTTATACCAAAAGACTTAAAGTGGGAAATGGAGACAACTGGTGAGTGGCTTCAGTCTTGAATCCGTTGGATGACTGTTTCAACACTAGTCTGGATATGTGCAATGAGTAAAATATTGCAATTCATGTCGCATCCCATACAGCGGAGCCGTTTCTCTTAAAATCTCATCCTAAACTTTTATGTAAATCCGAGAATGCTTGCAGAACTATTTGATCCTTGTCGGAAAATATCAAGAGGTCGTAGTAGTGCTTAAATGGTCGAGTCCATGCACACAAATGTGAATCAGCCTATTTTGAGTGTCACAGTAACTGGTAACCATAGTACCTACAGCATTGCCACTTCGGAAACAAAAAATGAGGGTCGGTTCCAATAAAAAGACGAACGCCTACCAGTCACGGCTGTCAACCGACACGAATCAGGAATGACCAATCCCGTGTGATAGAAGGGCAACGATCTTCGCATCGCACCCAATTCCCTACTTCACCGGTGAATCGTATCGGTCGATGTTGTCTCAATAATTGAATCAGTTATGCGCTCATTCACAGCCGACTTTTCGAACCTGTTCCATCAGCCTGATATCATAGTCTGCTAGCATACATGCTTGAGAAGATCGTTCGGCGTTAGCGGTAAATAAAGCTACATGAATGACATAAGAATTGCCACTGGTTAACATTTATTAGCAACTTGATAATGATGCTTCTTAGGGTATAAATCCATGAATCAGAATTATTAGGTTGAATTTCTTGTGTATATATATGGCCTCTGAGATTACGTTGACTCCTTGATCCTACACTGAGTGAGATATGCGGCACATTCTGCGTCTCTCTGGTTGAATTCCGCTGTCTTTTGTAATAGTCCCCCGAAAGTGAAATGCAAGTCCCGCAGTGTCAGTGCACATGATAGTGGCAAACCAGCTAAAACATTTATAACTCTTGGGTTCCGCAACCACTCCGTTCGTGGTCATTGATTTTTGTCGACATTACAGATCGAAACCAAATGACTTCTCTGTACTGCTGAACAAAATATATCGAAGGAGTTAGATTTGCATAATGATCCGTCAATTTCATATGGATACATCCATCGCGTTTTGGAGAGCGGCGGAAATATCCGTCCGAATTAAAACTACGATTCCATATACGCTTTTGTACATATTCAGAATTTCCTTGTCCACCTCTCTCGCAGATAGGATAACTCCCTAAATGACCGAAACCCTTACGTCCACGACTTTCGACCTTCTCGTCTAACTTAAGCCTTTTGCTCTTTGCTAAGTGTGCCGTATCCATATACAATCTACTATGTTTTGCCTATCATTGAGAGAATGCACACATTGAAACCAAATATCATGACTAAATGGAGAATACACCGACATGCTGTCATGGTCAAGAGCAAGTGATCCTACTATATATATGATATTTCAACAAGCATCTGTGGGTTGTGGGCCCGATAAAACTACGGGACTAGTTAGGTGTTAGATACAGCCAAGACAGATGTTTTGTCACCACATCACAGAATTCGTAATAAAAGTAAGTTCAGCTACGTTTCGAACAATCAGATTCTGCGTTGCGATATTGAGGGGACTGTGTGCCATCTTTGCAGAATACCACGAAAGATGCCAGTCTGGAGTATATAAAATACACGCATTCAGACATGGTTAAAATGATTTGGATGGCCTTAACTGAAATGGTTTCCGTCTGCATTGTACCTGATACGTTTATGCGTCCTTTGAGTATCATGGCAGCCACGCTATTGTTTGTGCGTGGTAATTCAGCCCTCGGAATTCTTTCTGGCTGCATAACTCCTCTACATCGAAACAACTTCACATTTGAGCCCCATCGTGAAAAATCGTTATTGTCTATAACGGATTACTTCTTTGTCACTCATAACGGGTGGAACTTACCATAAGTCCACGGTTTAGGTAGTTTGATAGTCTCTGAAAGTAAACTGGTGGGTACTAGTTTAGTTAATAGAATGTATGACTTCATATTTGTTTGATTTCCAGAAAGTCTGTGAGTTCTGTTCGATAGCTCACTTTACCCGGAGCAGTTTCTCCCCGAAGAGCAGAGCGTTCCCACTAGTCCGCGCAGCTGGTCCCTAACATTCGTTAACTTTCCGGTATGGATCACCATCGAAACGAATTATATTGAATCTATGGCGATGAAAGTTTAGCCTCAACCTTCCTAAGAACATCTGGCCAAGTTCCGGGGGCTTGCGCTCCAAAACGTTTGTCATGAGGAAAAAACGGATCTTATACCCAGCTGCCAAAAGCCGCCCATCAGTACCTGCCAGTTGTTCCCTTTCCCGAATTGGGGATACCGATTCTGGGGCTAGTCAGGACTCAAAAAAAAACTGAAACATGATCTCAAGCTGTATTTGCGTAATTCAGCCCTCGGAATTCTTTCTGGCTGCATAACTCCTCTACATCGAAACAACTTCACATTTGAGCCCCATCGTGAAAAATCGTTATTGTCTATAACGGATTACTTCTTTGTCACTCATAACGGGTGGAACTTACCATAAGTCCACGGTTTAGGTAGTTTGATAGTCTCTGAAAGTAAACTGGTGGGTACTAGTTTAGTTAATAGAATGTATGACTTCATATTTGTTTGATTTCCAGAAAGTCTGTGAGTTCTGTTCGATAGCTCACTTTACCCGGAGCAGTTTCTCCCCGAAGAGCAGAGCGTTCCCACTAGTCCGCGCAGCTGGTCCCTAACATTCGTTAACTTTCCGGTATGGATCACCATCGAAACGAATTATATTGAATCTATGGCGATGAAAGTTTAGCCTCAACCTTCCTAAGAACATCTGACCAAGTTCCGGGGGCTTGCGCTCCAAAACGTTTGTCATGAGGAAAAAACGGATCTTATACCCAGCTGCCAAAAGCCGCCCATCAGTACCTGCCAGTTGTTCCCTTTCCCGAATTGGGGATACCGATTCTGGAGCTAGTCAGGACTAAAAAAAAAACTGAAACATGATCCCAAGACCAACTGTATTTGCATCATCAAGCGGCGGTGGACCACACGTTTTGTCTGTCTCAAGCATTGGAACTAACCGTCACGAGTGCACTTGCTGTATGGACATGCCTAAAAAGTTGGCGCGAGTAGCTAAGCAATCATGCACTTGTCCAGCAGAGATATATGAAATAAATTCTCCCCACCAACTGGGTGTGGTGATGGATCATTCCTCGGTACAGACTTGGGTTGGCGTCAACTCGAGAACAATATGCAGTCGAAGGGAGAATTCTTTGAAGTAGCATGTTAAAAAATAACCGCGTGATGAATTCCTGAAAGGTCATGCCCAAAAGATACTCGCAATAACCTTTGTCAGGAGCAGAAAATCAAGACTGAACTGTTGTAATAATGTGCGTGAAGACGCACTGCCGAGATCCGAACCAAAGAAGGCTACATAAAAGCTTGACCTGACGGAAACTGTTGTAAGTCTTTAGCTTCGGCTGGAATACGGCTCCTATCATATCGTTAAACTCATCTGTCCAAGAAAAATTGTGAATCACAAGAATCAACCGCCAACGACACCCACATGAGCTTAAAATTTTTGTTGAATGTTGCAACCTGAAGGTTTTGAAGCACTCACTGCCTTCAACTGTTACCAGATATTCGCACTGGTTAAAAGCTCACCAGAGTTGGAGATATGGAAGATCCGTTTCTAAACCCAGCGAAAATGACTAGCAGGAGTCAAATAAGATTAACCAAATTAAATGCCACATTGAGAAAACATCTTGTGTGGCCCGGGCGTGAATTTTTTCAGTACAGTTTCACTTTTCACCCCCTTCTTTAGTGGTGCAAAAATCCACCGGAAATCGGAGCGCGCAAAAATTCGCCAAAACGATCAACCGATAGTTGAATACCTAAAACGTCGTGGTCAGCATCGCACTCGAAAGATTTCAAAATCCCGGCTGGAACAGTCACCAACTGCGATGTGCGATTCTATCAACTGTGCATAATTTTATGCGACACTAAAATATCGACGTTTTACTGGCAGTGGATGAGACTCCTGTATTGTCTGTGGAATTTTACATACGTTTCTTGAGCACATCGGGTCCACAAGCATTTAATTACTTCCAAAGATAAGAATATGTCCATTCAAAGGCACTTGTAACTGAGGGATAGACAATAACTAAGATGAAGGATTTGGCTTCAAACGAGTGTATTAAAGTACATTTTTAGTTTACTTAGTGAGAAATGCTGCCTTGAAGTAAGGTAGGAGAAGGACTTGGGAGAACTCTCAAACATTTGCATCATCCGTCGTGTTCAAGGGAATATAATTTGCTGAGAATTAAAGAAACTATCGCACAATATTAAGCAATGGAAGCATCGCCCCACAGTAAGTGATGCAGCGTTGATGTGGACAAAGGTCCATCAGTTGATTTGTCACTGACTAGTAAGACAGAAAAATCGCCAGAGAAAATGTGGATTTGTGACGATATAATTTACTCCTGTTTGAGCGTAGCTACGTTCCACATTGCGGCATGAATGCCCTGGTGATTCTCCAAAGTGAATAGCTCAGGTTAGCAATTTAACGTCCATTGGTTGGACGAAAGCTTACTGGGAAATTTAACTGAGTCAGGCGATCAAGTGATGACCATTCCATTTGATCGTGAAAGTAGCTCGTGGGGCTCAAGGTCCAAAAGGCTGAAAGCGTGAAATTGTTAAATAAACTAGTCGAGAAATCATTCAATGCTTGTACTTGAATACTGAAGAAATCCAAGCAGAATATCTTACTGACACATTAACCGCGTTACGACATTTCCGGACAGTCACAACAAACTCAGAAATGAATAAAAGCTGTTTCTCAAACCAAAATAAGCTATTAATGCTCTCCGCTAATGATGAGGATGTTGAGGGGCCTCGTTGTAAGTTCCGCACAACAACTTAAAACGTCGGCGTAGGAATCCAGTAGAAATTGTGCAGTGACTGCAGATTCATACAAAAAGTGACATCTGGTCTCCTCGTCTGCGGTGGGTTGTCGGCATGAATAATGATAGATTACCTACCATTCTTGTCGATACATCATGATTCGTCTTTCAGAAACAGCGGCAGTTGGCGACAGTAATACCTAAACTGGTTCGGGTTTCAACACCATGTTGACAGTGCTAAATGTCAAAATTAAGTAAGATGTCGAGGTCCTGATTCCTTCATGCAAAACAACGCTAGGTGTGTCGAGCTGCTTGGAAAGTATATAAAAATCCGGTTTATCTTTCCTTGGCACAGTATGGTACTTACTTGCAAGCGAGAATCTCTTACTATTAGGTGGATATTTATCCATGTACTGATTTGAGATGACTCAGATAACCCAGTGCTCCTGATGTGTCTTTATGAACGCGTAAAGCATGAGAAAATATTGTGTCACGTAATTATCTGCAATTCGTGTGGTCCGAATGTATGAACCTCATGACCCTGGGATAATCCTAATGGAATACTATGCAACCATAATTCTGACGTGAACAAAATATTCCAGAAAAAACAAACCCAATCCCAAGTGTTTTTACTGGCCCTGGAAATTGTCAATACTCCCATAGTGCAACAAAATGTCATCCATCGGGAACTTAGTTTGACAAAGCATTTCCACACTGCTGACTTTGTTGTATCCATTAACCTGTGGCTGCTCCCAGATGCAGTCGCTCCAGCATCTATCATGCGTTGGTACAGTTGTTTTACCCGTGCAATTTCTGTCTCAGGATCAGATAAAACGACAACGTGGCATGAAATCGCATGTACTTGGACTCGCGAGTAAGTACACTCCGTAAAATCGCAAAAATCAAGAGGACTGATCCGATATAGATGAATACGTGCGGGTGAATTTTCGGCCAAAGAAGTGTAATTCAGGCGTATTACCTAGAAGCGACTGTATTAACGTAGAACCGTCTGAAGCCGCAAATACTTAATCGGGCCATTGGCCTTGAATCGGCACTGTATGTCCTCGCTTACTAATAGTGTTCTATTTCTGATTTCGGGTGCAAACAGTCTAGAAGATCAGCCGGGCTCCTATTTGGCCTGGGAACTTTTGAAAATAGGAAGCGTATGTCAACAGTGATTCCGATGCTCGCACTCAATAGGCGTAGCATAGGAAGGTCGCTTTGAACAAGCTCTATGCAGGGGAATTCCGCTACTGATTTATTCTATCAGTAGCACGTGCCCCAACGGTAAAATTGCATAAAGGAAGGTCCAGTGGTGTTGTAAACGTCTCGTCAGAATGTTTCCGTATGGGGAACGGAGTTTTGTTTGGAAAACCTAACTTTGATCGACTGGCTTTTGCAACCGCAAAAAAGAAAGACGAGTGCCTAGGCGGCAATATACTACTTGCGGAGTTCAACCCAACAAGGTAAGTGAACGGTGGGGCTATTGTAACAAGCCAGAAAAGATAGATTTTGTTACTCTTTCTTTTCACATTCATGTCTGTCACACTAAGCCGTCCTCCCTCCATTTCACCCACAGTGTTATTGACACAGCAACTGCTGTTATTATCAACGGAGCTGTGTGCAGCCAAATGAAAATCAAAGTTTGCACTCACATACCGTCACGAAAAGATTGGACTTTGCCGTGGTGTGGCGGTTTGTGTACCTCGGCGACCCTTTGAACTATACCGTGGAGTGCCGACTCGACGCTCACAGTCTCACATACCAGGTTGATTTATGGGTATTCTGACGAACACAGTCTTCTGGCCCTCTCGGTTGAGAGTTGGAACATGTATGGCGAAGTGTTCCGTAAAAATGGTAATGCAATTGCATTTCCAGCCCAAGCCTTCCCCGTCCACCTTTACTCTTTTCTTTACAATAAGACTTTCAAATAAATCATGGTTGTACGGCAGTGAAGCATCAGTGTTGAACACTGATGTCATGATGCTGAAGATGATGATGAATCCAGTCCAACACCGCTGCATTGAGGTTGGGCTTTTGAGCCAAAGGCTTTGACTGAGGACCCTAATCGTCCCCCTCTGTAGATGTGGGCACCCTGGCATTATCCCAGCTATCATACAAACATGCCATATTGACTGTCGCGTGATGCCATTAACCAGGCCGCCTTGGGTTCTTCATGCAGCAATGCGGGTAAGCGAAAATATGCCACTGCTGACGCCTCCCTTCTTACACTTACACGTTTTTTTGTATCTCACCCTCCTTCATCCAAGTTTGAGTACTTTATCCGCAAGTGCCAGCTCCAGGACGGACCATTTTGCTCGCCCCGGATCACACTCAGCAGCAGCTTCTGTACGTCCGAGCTCATCACAACCCTAAACACTTCGGAGTGTTTTCAAACCCCGAAAGCCTGTCCACTTAGCCACTTTCAATGTTCGCACACTGAAGCAGGCAGGTCAACAGGTGGCTCTTGCCTGCCCGCTGGAATCCCTCTGCTTGATGTATGCTGTCTGTGAGAAACAAGGACGAATGACGCATGTACTGTGATCAAACTGACTGCCACTTCGCACTCTTTCAGCTTCCGTCTGCGCACCTCTGGTGTTGCAGAGGCCACTGAAGCTGGATATGCTGGGGAGGATATTGTATTGAACGTACGAGCGACCGTCACGGAAGACTGGACCTTACCATGGTGTGACGGTTTACGCACTTCGTCGACCCATTGAACTATACTGGGGGGTGTCCCCACGACACTCATGGGGTCTCTCATACGAGGTTAATCAGTGGTTAGAGTTATGACGAACACAGTCTACTGGCCCTCCAGGTTAGGGGTTGGAACATGTGCCAACTTGTCCCGTAGTATTTGTGTTTGTATTCCCGCCAAACATCGCTGCCTTGCGGTTAGACTTTTTAGCGGCTTTGGTTGGTTGAGGACCCTCATCATCCTCCTGTCTAGGTGTGGGCGCCCTGGCACTATTTCAGCCCTTTGCCTGCCCGCTGGAATCCCTCTGCTTGATGTATGCTGTCTGTGAGAAACAAGGACGAATGACGCATGTACTGTGATCAAACTGACTGCCACTTCGCACTCTTTCAGCTTCCGTCTGCGCACCTCTGGTGTTGCAGAGGCCACTGAAGCTGGATATGCTGGGGAGGATATTGTATTGAACGTACGAGCGACCGTCACGGAAGACTGGACCTTACCATGGTGTGACGGTTTACGCACTTCGTCGACCCATTGAACTATACTGGGGGGTGTCCCCACGACACTCATGGGGTCTCTCATACGAGGTTAATCAGTGGTTAGAGTTATGACGAACACAGTCTACTGGCCCTCCAGGTTAGGGGTTGGAACATGTGCCAACTTGTCCCGTAGTATTTGTGTTTGTATTCCCGCCAAACATCGCTGCCTTGCGGTTAGACTTTTTAGCAAGCGGCTTTGGTTGAGGACCCTCATCATCCTCCTGTCTAATGGTGGGCGCCCTGGCACTATTTCAGCCCTCGTACAACCATGAACTGTACACATACAAATAAACTCCTGCTAAATCAGCCGTCGCTTGGTGCCATCAGCGGGGTTGCTTCACTTGCTGCACGCAGCAGGGCGGGTAAGCGAAAACAGACCACTGTTGAAGCCTCCATTCTTTCTCTTTCACCTACTTCTTATTCCCCTTCTCCCCACCACATTAATAACCCTCCTCTTATAGGTCTAGCACTTAGGACTGATGACTCCGTTCGTCTGCGTACATCTGCTTGTCACATGGCACGGACATCGTCAGTTACCTTAAAATCACTCTTCACGACTCGACACAGCGATTGGGCTAACCGCCCCGTCAGTCTCCACTCGCTTCCGGCTGCGCACCTCTGGTGATCCAGAGGCTGCTGCGGTGGGATGTACAGGGGTTGGTACTGTGCTAAGTCACCGGGCGGAAGTATCCTTATTTGACTGGATACCTGTTGATAATCGCCTCTGTGCGGTTCGTCTGGCAACGTCTGTGAAGGAGTCTCACAAGCGGCAAGTTGATAGATGTCGGTTTATCGTGTCTGCCTATGTCCCAACCGACTGTAACTCCGACGCCGTCAAAGAGAGGTTTTATAACGCCATGAATACCCTGCTGTGACGAACTAAAACTTTACATATCGCGGCGGTTACCTAAGATTTGAATGCACAAGTGGGCAGGCTTAGTGTGTCTGAGAGTCAATTGGGAGTTCGACATGCACTGAACTCGGTACATACGGACAATGGGAAACGATTGCTTCAGCTGCGTGCTGATCGCAGGCCGTTTTTGTGCACTACTAACTTCCGAAAAGCTGATGGGTGCTTGGGGTGTTAGTCTGCACAACAGCGTTGATGGTCGTGGTTTACGAGAGTTGGGCGCTTCGCCTCTCTCGGATCGATGGCTCGTATTTCCAGAACGAGTGTTTCCTGGGATATTTATCCGCAGTATCCAGCTCCGATGCAACCTGCTCAGGACGGCAGTTAGAAGCCAGACGATCGTATGTGGTGGAAACTGTGGTCAACCGGAGCATATTTTGCAATCCTGCTGGGTCACGCATGATGCCAGACGTGCTCGTCGTAATTGGGTTGCAAGGGAACTCGCAAAACGTCTCCGACGACCGGGATACACCGTCTTCGAGGAGTTGAGAGCAGCTACATCGACGTCCTTCATTAAACCTGACCTAATCGCTGTTCGAGATCGTCGTGCAACCGTAATAGACGTCAGTATAGTTTCGGACGGGCGCGGAGTGACTGTGTGAAATGAGAAGAAGCAGAAGTATGGAACTGATGAATATTCCCTCGCCAGAATCTCAGCCCTACATGCGATCGGTTGTGATGTCGACTTTTTGGTTCACCAACCGATGATCATCTCTTACCGAGAGATCTGCTTTCCTCAGTACGCTAAAGCTGTTATTGGACTGGGACTTCCTAAGGTCGCAGTCAGTGACTTGTGTTTGCCTGCCATTGTGGGCTCCCTGCGTACATATGACACTTTTATGCGTGGGACATGGAGTTGAATGTACATTTTTGCCATTTAATCTCACACCAGACCCAGTATGACGGACACTTTGTGCCTGATGTGCGAGTCTTGATTGTGAACGCGCCTACCGCGCCTTGAAGAGCATTCAACATTGTTTGTCCTTTCTTCGGGTGTTGGTCTTTGATGCTTGTTTCCGGATCAAAATTTTTACATACTTTGAGGTTCATCTCATCAGACTGGAACAGACCTTGGCAGGATTTCGAATGAGACGTTTCCTTCTCTTCACCCGCATTCTCCACTTGCTCCTATGCATTCATTGCATATATTCACATTTTATGTTTGTGATCATACTCTTCAAAAAATAAATGATAAAAGCATACTCAGAGACACCTTGCCCGTCGATGCGAAATTTGCAA